TTCACGGATGGAGCAAAGTTGGATGGAGGAGTTGCTGAAACCCCTTAATCTCAAATTCAGGCTGCCAACTCACTGCAAACGAAAGTAGCAACTGCTTACATACAAACATATAGGGTTGCTAGATTTTGTTCGCGGGAAATTACTACCTTAGACTTATCAGTACTTTTCAGTACACTTTTACTCGAGGCAAAATTGTGAATGTAAGTAACAGAGAATACTTGAAAACGCCAGAGTACTTGTGTACACCTTAACCCTTCCGCAATGATTGGGTCAAAATGAAAATGGGAAAAATTCTTTAATTACAGAGTTAGGTAATTTTAAATAAGCTGTGGCGTTGTCTATTCGTTAAAAGCTTAATCAGCTATGGTTTAGCAAAAAATAAAAGAGTTTTTAATTTTATTTTGTTTTCTAGGCAACATAGTTTTTCTATATATCCACAGTGTTTCTGGGTCATTTTGACCCCAATTATTATTTAGTATTTAAGAGCAACTTTGAAGGATACAGCACTTGCCAATAAGGTGTTTGCATGTGATAAATCAAATATTAACTGAATTCATATTGAAATGTCGTTTTTTTTTCTTAAAATTTACGAATTTCTATCATAAGGTCAAAATGACCCAAAAACATCATAGCAAGGGGTCAATTTCAAACACCGCAAAATATATGATTATATATATGATTTTTTCTTCATATATGTATATTGAGATGTCCGTTTTCTCCGGCGTATATGCTATTTTGGGACTCTTAGCGGAGCGTCAGTGCACAGCACTGGGAGTTAAATTGTGCATTTTGCGGCCTCCGCTGGTTGGTTGGATATATACTACAATTACATTTTGTGGAAAGTAGGTACGTATCTATGTATAGTGCTAATTTTGTAAAGATGATCATTTATAATTTTTAGCCGATTAATGTTAATTTACTAAACAGGATTTCAGTAATGCAAGCATTTTAACGCAACCCCATTGTGATTGTGCCAATACCGAAAACCGACTTACAAAACTATTGAATTTTATTAGGAAGCTTGAAAGTGGTGATTTTTTATTTATTTTTTATAAGTAGAATATTTAACTGATAAAAAGTTCTTCCGTGGTAAACATGGTGGGCGTTACAATAGGCTAACCTTAACCATCTTTCAGATTTATCATATCAAATAAGGAGATACAAAAGTGGACAAGGATTGCTCAGATCCATAGTCGTGGTGTTCTTTTAACGGTCCACATTTTTGTAACCATATATCAAAGGCGTTCACTAGCCACCGTAAATTTAATTTGTCCAGTACTTGAATTGTCAAAAAAATTTTGACAAGTTTTTATTACTTTCAAGAGTTCAAATGCGATTACATACTTACCCACATACAATGACTCAAACAAGTTTTTTGTTTCATGCTTTTCAAGTCAATTTTTTTGTTTTTTATTTATGTATAAAAATAAAGCTTTAACCAAAACCGTATAAACTAAAGTTTTAAAATTTAGGAAAAATTTAAAAATTTTCATCAATATTTCAATTTTTTTTGCCTGAATCTTTAAAACGTTTTTCGATATACGCATACAATATTAGTCTAAAGAAGTACCAGTTTCACACGGCTAAAAATCGCTTTGGTTTAAAATCTTTTTTTTTTGAACTGCTTTTGCGCTTTTTATATGTATAACAAGTGCAATTTATGAAAACCGACTTTTTTAAATTTTATTGCAAAAAAAAAATTACTTAAAATTAACACGATTTTTTTGCCGCTTAAAACTTGCACTCCTTTAAACTTAATTTTATGGGCTATAAAACTGCATACCCAAACTCGTTCTAAAGATTCTGATTAAAAAGTTTGAAGTTTTGATGAAATTTTTTTGAATTTTCCTCAATTTGAAGAAAGTTTGAATTTGTGATTTACATGGTTTTCGTAAAAGCTTGGTCAATATTTTTATAGAAAAATAACAAGAAAAATTAAGTTCGAAAAGTATTGTTAATAAATAAAAAAAAAAAAAAAGTCAACCTGTGGTCACCTGTTTGAGACACTCTATGTATGTTTAGGGTGGTCCAAAAATGCGCTGGAAAATCAACTTTTTAGAAATGTCCTGCGTAACCCGCAGAACTGAAGAATATCGAAACATGAATATGAACATGAAAATGTATTATAACTTTGAATCGATGTTTGCAAGTACCAGAAGAAGAATATATACCAAAATGATCGGAACGGCAAGCTGAGTCGATTTAGCCATGTCCGTCGGCCTGTCTGTACGTTTAAGCGCGTACGTCTTAGCTTTCGAGATACCCGACTGAAATTTGATAAGCGGGTGTATTTTTTTACCGAATTAAACACTTGTCGGAACCAGCCAAATCGGACCACTATAACACATAGCTGCCATACAACTGATTGTTCAGATATGAGATTTTTTAGTATAACTCATCCATTTATGCACCCAAGAGCATACAATTTCGCTCTATTTTCTCTCATTATCAACAAAACGCTTACAGTGAAAATGATAAAGATCGGTGCACTATAACCTATAGCCTCCATACAAAGTGATTGCTCAGATATGGGGTTTACTTAGCAACTCCTTCATTTGTACGGCCATAAGCGAGCAATTTCATGAGATATTTTCTTAAATAATCATGCAAAGTCTACTGAGAAAATCGTCATGTTCGGTGCTGTAAAAATTTTCTTTAGCTCTCAAACAACTAACTTAAAATGCACTAATCGGTGCCTGCGGGATTGGTTAATATTTAACTGTGCCGCCGGGACTAGGGCGTTTTCCGTCTGCATATATATTTTACATGGGAAAATATATTTTTTTCGTGAAACGTTAAAAATAAAGATTTCCGGACAAATAAGAATATTTCCCTTCAGAAACATTCCAAAAATAAAATTATTATGTACATTTAATTTAAAAATTTTACTTAAGTGCATAATGTGCCTACAAAGGGAGAAAAAAGTGTTGCACCATCCTAATGTCTCTACATACATATGTATGTAACTAATTATGGTTTATGTAACTTAATGTTATTTGTCGGCAATTAATAAATATTTATTATCTTTACGCGGACAAATGGGACGAAACACATTTTCTTCGTATTACGAGCAAAGTTATTAATTTATTTTTTTTTTAATTAAATTGTATTCAGCGTTGTGTTGCCAACAGTTTTTATTAATTCAGATAGCTGTCATCGAACAGCTGTTGATCATTCTGCTATTATCTAATTACATAAATTAATCGATGAGAAAGCAAGTTTACGTTGGCCATCTGTCGAGGGAGAGAATTTCCTGCAGTGACACGAACGTTTCAATATAAGTCATAAATATTAATGGATACATTTTAACCATGATGCAATAATGAAAGGTGTTGTACGTTGTGACAGCTCGAAATCGAACTACCTTAGGTCAATATTGTATTTTGGAAGTACAAGATAAACGGGAATAAAAAAAAAGCCTTTTAGTTGAAAAAGTACTAAATTGTATGCCTTCTCAACAGCGTTCCGATTATCAGAAAAGGTATATATATGGCTTGGTAATCTCATAAAATTGTAGATAATTAAAATAATAAAATTAGGCGTGTTTTTATTTACAGGAATATGATAATATGCTTAAAATTTTCGAGCTGATGAATACCCAGCTAGAACAGTATGGCTTATATAATTCCTTTTATGAGCCGTATCACTAAGAAAATTATCCCTTATGAATTTGAAATGTGTCCCTTATATTGTACAGGCCAAAAAGAGGAATTCATTTACGTGTGATCTTTTGTCCCCCTCTTTCATATAGGCTTCTTGTGCGCATATATCAGGTTTCATAGCTGTTGACCATACCAATAATGCCTCATGCTCAGTTTTACTTGATCAATTCGTGTTCTCGAGAAAAAAAATTTCACGATTCAAAAATCTGAGTATAGCCGCCAAATTCTTTTCTCAAAATTTTGAAAATTCTTTGTTTTTTGCCCTATATTTGCTTTGTATGGTATTTTCAACAAAATATAGGCCAAAAACGATAAATGTTCAAACTTTGGAGAAAAACAATTTTTCAGATTTTTGGATCGTGAAAATTTTTTTTCTCGGAGAACACGAATTGATCTAGTAAATCTTAGTATGAGGCATTATTGGTATGGCCAACAGCTATCAAACCTGATATAGTCGCACTAAGGTTTTTTTGTGTTCCACAGTGTTATACAAGGGATACTTTGAGGAATCATATAAGGAATTATACATTACCCAAGTCCACGTATATCCAAGTTCGTGTCATACAGCAAGCATTGACTACTTTTTAAAGTTTTATTTATTTGTTTTTGAAATTGACGACATATTTCAGAATTTGTAATTAATACGTTGTGTTCATTTTAGTAAATCCACTTTTTTAATTGTACAAAATTTATTATATACATACAGTATCGGTCATATCAATAGCAACCCCATTTCAAAGTGATATTATTTCCCTCTCATGTTAATTTATTTATTGCTTAGAATTTGCAACAAAAGTAAAGTTGAATTTCTAACAAAACCCATATAAACCGAATTTTAAAACATCGTAGAAAACTACAAAAAATACAACAAATTTTCAACCAAAATTCAAACTTTTTTCTCAGAAGTGTTAGAATTTTTTTGAGCACTCAGTTTTATAGCCCCTTCAATTTTAGTCTAATTATATGCAAGTTTGAAGTGGCTAAAAATTACCTTAGTTTTTTTAGAATCGATTAAAAACAAATCGTGTTTAATCGTCTTCCATATAACGAAAACTTCGACCATATATCGATGGCTGAGTAGAAGATCGACCTATCTCGGCAGCCAGGTCGAAAACGCCCGATATCAGAAAGCTTTTCAACGCCCTATTTCAAAATTTGGCTGAAAAACGCCCTATTTTAGAATTTGATTGAAAAATGCCCTATCTCGGAACTCGGTTCAAAAACACCCTATCTCAGCACATTTTCGAAGTATTTTTATTTGAGATAGGACTTTTTTGAACCGACTAATAATAATAAAATATGTACTATATACATATCTAGTTTCAATATAAAAAAATTTATGTACACCATTAATTGTGTATACATATCTAAGTCAATATATGTGATATACATGTACATACATCTACATACATATCGTCGTTTAAAGTACAAAACCATGTATCAATAAATTGCAAAACCGCGTATAGAGATAATGCAAACCCACGTATGCGAGGTTGCATAAATTAATTTCTAGAGAGTAAAAACACTCATATTTCAAAATGGTTATCTTTTTGTAAAAAGCAATCGCATTTTTGGCTAGTATATTTCAGGAAGAATGGATAAGGATTGATCCAAAAACGTGTGTGAGCGAATCCAATTTTTAGCAGCAAATGTCAGTTACGCGGTTTTGTACTTTAAGCGACGATATGTATGTTAACAGGAACGCAGCAATCTAATACACGGGTGGAGCAGGAACGCAGCACAGCAGAAGCATACAAAAAATCTGCAAATAAATGGTTTTTTAGGTTTTTAACAAACGAGAACCTGGTTTCAACTTACTTCAACGTGTCTAAATCACAACGCACACACTAATGCAAAGGCGCAACAGGAACGCAACACTATAAAATACGGGCGGAGCAATATACAGGCGGAGCAGGAACGCAGCACAGCAGAATCGTCCGAAAAATCTGCGAATAAATGGTTCATTAGGTTTTGAAATAACAAAGAGCTCAAATGGAATGGTTCATCAATAAAGTCAAAATAATATGTTGTAACTTACGTGTATTAGCTCTTAATCACAATACCAGCACAGGTCGGTCAGCGAAACACTAAGGAAATGACCTAATAAATGCAAAATTATAATTTATTTGTAAAATAATTCGGTTTTATTACAATACTTACCAAATTTCACGCAATTGGAAAACAAATGTCAGCGAATAAGAACAAAACGAACAACGAAAATTGAATCAATGTAGCTTGTTCAGAATTTTTTTCTAATAGTTTGGGAAATGTTCAGTGAAAATAGAAAAGAAACAACACAGTTTCTCCTAAGGTAGTTCAAGATGGCGGATTAGAGCGAGAAGTTGCCAACGTATAACACCTTTCATTATTGCATCATGCATTTTAACATAGGAATGTGGAAAACTTTTACTTAAGACATTGAGTGCCTTGCTTGCTATCGTCAACTAAGATTTGGAATTAAAGCAGTTATAATTAGTGCATACATATACCTCTTTTTGGGGCCGAAAATATGACTGATTGGTTTGTGAAGAAGCACCACTTGCAAATTAAAATTGTCCTGTAATTTTGATGGGTCTCTGATGTCTCGATCCGTTGATATCTTAAAATTACTTTCACCTGTTGATTAATATAATATACGACTAGTTCCCTATTTTCTTCGAGGTTTCAGCTATAGTATCGAATGCATCATCTTCACCAAGGGGCCAGTGTCCCATGATAGTGGTTTTTAACCTGGCATTTTTCGCTATTTATTTTTCTAATTTACTTAGAGTGCCGACTATGTGGCGAATATTTGTTGAGTTACTGAGTTATATTTAGTTTTAGAAGTGAGTCGATAGCTCCGCTCGGTGTTGATTTACCCAGCCCTATTTCGCTACAATTGCGCATGTGTGGAGTTCGGTGGGCAGCTGATGCAGATTCACATTAAGCGTATCAGTGAGCCCGTGCACATTCCATTAAGGAATGAGTGGGCGGGGGCAGGGGTTGGAAGGAGGCACCTGTCAACTTTTAATTACATGGGTCGAAGTTAAACGGAGGAGTCAGTGGTTTGGTTTTTCCATGAAGCTCTACTTCAACCTTAAATTTAGGCTTCCTTAACACTGCAGTGTTTAACAGGCGGAGGGTGCTGCTCTTAAGAAAACAGCCAATTGGCTGCTGCTCACACTCCAAGCTTGTTGAGGAACCCCTTAACTCGTTTTCCATTGCCAGACCATGGTGATATCGCTGGATAGAGACGGCACCCTTGAGGTAACAACGTTAAGAAAAGAGATAGTGGAAGATCCCTCGACTGCTTGTAGACTTCTCTTAGATAGATGGAACGCAAATAAACTCAGCGAATTCCGGGGGAAAACAAGAGCTTGCGCTACTGCGAGGTAATTCTGGCCGAGGATGGAGCGGCGAAGGTCTAGGAATCTCCTATTCTAGTAAGTGTACTTGTTTTATCAGACCTCTTTTATCGCAGTTGCATGGAGAACGACGAGGTAGAATTATCTCAACACTTCCTCTTTAACTGCCCAGCTTTTGCCAGAATGCGTCTTAGACACTTGGGTACGTACTTTATGGATTGTTCGGAGGAGCCCTTCGGAACTAGCATCTGCTGCCTGCGTAACGTGATTCTCGGACACGCTGCGTTTCTCGCTTTGACTTTGCAGTTAACGCACCATAAGCTAGTATTTGTATGAAAATAGGTCAAGTTTTGGCTTAAGTCTGCAGTATATATTGAGTCTTTTTGCATGGGTAATAAACTATTTAGTACTAATACCGGGAATTCGGCAATTCACAAAAGTCGAATCCTTTTTTTTGGAGATATAAAGTGTCTCACTAAAAAGGAAACAAACCCGATGTTGGGCATTGTGAAGTCTTTTTCTATACCGAACTTACAAAACGAAACATTTCGTAGACCTTTGCAGGACCTTATAGGAACTACTGGGACAATAAGCATTTATCATAAAAAATTTGCGTCATTTTGGTGCGTGGAACCCACTGTTATGAAATGGCTCATAACATTTATTTACACTTCAATTGTCATAAAATCAGGTCAATATCAATGACATTTTAATGAACTGTGAGAGATTGAATGCAATTATTTAGAAAAAAAAAAACGTACAGACCGGTGCACGTGGGCAAACCATTTTTTGTTTATATAATCATTTAAAATCATTTCAATTGTATACTGCACTTGTTCAGTAATATAAATAACAACAATGCCTCTAAGTATACATTTTGTAATACAAACCATGTAATAACGCTTTGAATAAATTGAAAATTATTGTTAACAAACTTTACTTTTGTTATGGCTGCATAACAAGGCGATTAGTGATTTTTCTGAAGTGCTTTTGTTTTTCGTTTCACATAATTGAGCTCGTCCCACGCATACTGCTTCTACACATTCACATGTATGTATATGTACGAGTGGTGTAGCACTGCTGCAGAAGCTCATCGCTTCGATCATTGCATCAGTTGGTCAATGCCCACCCTTGACCATCACCCAATAACCGACCGCAGTTAACCTACCTAGATTGCTTTGGGCGCAAATGCATATTTAGCAATCATTTTCAACAACGCGCGCGCCATACATATTATTGGCAACTTGTTGCCGCAAATAAACAAAGCTGATGCTGCTACTCCTCTTACTAACTGGACAATGCATAAAGCTGTTATTTAACTAGTAATTTTTAGCAAAAAAAAAACCGACTTCAACTCTCATATAAAAAAAAAATATATATATATCTCATGATCCACTGATCGGATCTTAACCAGATTAGTATAGGACCACCTCTGAGATACTACCTTTCCGATGCAAAAAGAATTATCGAAATCGGTTGACGTGGTCCAAAGTTATGCGGTAACATACATAAAAAAAAAAAAAAGATTCCAACGAACTGATAACCTCCTCCTTTTTTGGAAGTCGGTTAATAAAATACAATCAACACCGATAAAAGCATCACTTTGATGTATGTACCCTGCAGTGAAAAATTATCAATTGTTAGAACTAATCAACTTATAGTTAGCTTTTTGGCGAGATTTCGATTAATACCTCACTTTTAATTAGCTATGACAAAACCAACTTAAAGTGAATTGTAAAGTCGTGCAGGAGTCATGCAGACGCAATCGGGAGTTGGTTTTCTTTACAAGTTTCTATTAAATATCCTCATACAAAAGTTACTTTCAATACACTTTTTTTCTGAACTTCGCAGATTCTTTTTCATATACAGGACAAATAAAAGGAAGATCGAAATTTTATACTATCATTTTGAAGTTATGTCTGACGGTGTTCGAATATGGGGCCACCCAGAGCAGAATATGTAAACAAATATGAAATGTAATAAAATAAAGTAAATAAATAAGTAAATAAAAAAGTAAAAAAACAAAAAAATATTTTGTTTTTCTTATTGATATTTTATGTCCAAAAGTAGTTAGTTACAAGTTAGTTGACATGTAATGCAGAGGTATCCAGGTCTGACTTTTTTGCGGTCATCGCCCCACAAAAGTAGTTAGCTTTTTTCGAACAAAATACACAGTTAATAGTTAGCACTAGTGTTCGCGTAAACAGACTAAAGTTAGGTATAAACTAACGTCACTCCCTGCAGGGTACTTAACACCGCATCTTCAAAGATGGCAGCAACCTTTGGCGTCAATAAGTACAATGAATTGAACCGCAGCTGTGCCAACGCCAACTGACGTTTGGAAAATGCAAATTCCTGCATACATAAATACATATGTACATACATATGTACACACGAGTAACAATAATGCACAAGAAGGTGTGAAGTTCTATCAGAATTCATGCAAAACAAAATGTTCTGCCATTTTATTATGTTTGATTTGGTAGCTCATTTATTGCACAGAATTTAACAACTAATGAAATATTGGGCATATATATACATATGTACATACATACATATGTAATATAGCGCTATAATTTTCATTTGAATGTGTTAACGGAATATTACCAAAAGACACGCACAGCAAAATATGGGCAATAATGAATGGCACAAAAGCTCGTTGATATAATTGATGCGACATTGTTGTATGCAGGTGTAGGCGTACCTACATATGTGCATTATATAGGCTTGCATACATAATGTGACCAACCGTACTTCTTTTGGGAGTAAAGTACTTCTTTTTTAGCCCTTGTTCTTCGTACTTCGCAGTACAGTCAAATCTACTTCTTTGCAATATTTTGTATTTCAGGTCCTGTACTTCTCCGACCTTCTGGACGATCGTCACATGGCCTGTTCGATAAATTCGTTCAAATCCTTCAAGTCGGCGGTGAACGATGGCATCATACCTGCGCAGCTGTAAAGGGCTCTGGAGGTGTCGTGCAATTGGTTGGCTCCTATTTATACGAACTGCATGGGGACCAGGTGCATCCCTAAGGTGTGAAGGGTAGTCAGGGTTACGTTCTCTTGCTAGAGAGACTTATAGACCTGCGCATGCCCTAGTGTGTGCCTTGCCTGTGGCAACCACTTTATCCTAATCCAACCTAACCTGTACTTCTTTGAGCTATGAAATAGTTGGTCACATTATGGATACATGTACTTACACTAGTACATAAAAGCTTAACACTAAAACGCGTTTATACGGCAACAGATATGTATGCAATTTTTTTGGTTCAAGATGACTTTATATGTTTGTTTAATTGGCGTCACATTTGTGTTTACGTCTGGAGTGACGACGTTAACTGTTTATTTCGTTTATGAATACAAAGGTTCATATAAATACATATTTATGTAAGCACATATTTGTTTCAATTTATTGTAAATTGTATGCCCAGGTGAAATGAATGCGCGCTACTTACGAGTAGCAAGCAATATTAAAAGCGAGAAAAATCTGCAGCAATTCAATTCACATGCAAATTATTGCTGTTGCAGAAAAAAATTGAGAATTATTCGAAAAGAAAATAAGTTAAATACTAGACTGAATGAATCGCAAATGCATAAACACTATACTATTTTATTTATTGCAAAAAGGACTGAATGAGATTGTGTTTTAAAAAAATACAATATAATATTTTTAACTCGGTTTTATTAACAAGTTTTTTATTAACTTTTCTGACGAATTTTAACGTACTTAGGCGGTTAGAGGCATCGCGTTACCTTGATCGTAAATGGTGAAAATTTTGCCAACCGTCAAACTATAAATCTAACTCCAGCCTTATCCTCATTGAAAGGCCCACTGTGACATATGTAAGAGCGGGCATGATGAGAGATGTGTAGTGTGGTGAAGTTTCTCTTATGAATCGAAAGAAAAAAATGTATATTATCATTCT